CTAAGCTTACTGATTATTTTTTCTCCAACAGACTAATAGGTTAGGAGTGATACGTACTTATTTATTAACTTACTTCTTAACACCTCAGTTGCTTAGGAATTAATAAGTAACACTACTTAACATGCAGAATTTACTGTTCAAGAGCACCCACGTCAGTTTGCAAACCTGCTACACAGGATTAGGCAATAATGCCACCTGCATCAAACACTGAGGAAGGGAGAGCAAACCTTAGCAATGTTGCTTCTTTGACTACATTTCCCAGAATTCCCTAATCAGAATGGACACTTGCTACGCCGGCGGAGGCTAGGGTGGGAAGCTATTATCCCAAATGGTATCTTTTCCATGTCTTGCTTTCTAGGTTTGATGATGTCACGGTATAAGATAGTAGTCCCCCAACCTGATGCCCTCTGGACAGGCTGGACTACAGTGTCCATCATCCCCATCAAGTACATCCACTGGATGCTGGGAGCTGTAGCCCACCCTATCTGGAGGGGATACAAATGAAAGCAAATGAATAAAAATCTTTCACCTCTCTGGAATCATCGATGGCTCCCGGGCCCCGGACGGCTCTGACAAACCCATTTCCTGGGCTTGCTGAAACTTGCAATCCAGGATCCAGAGAAGTGGGCTTGGAAGGTGTGGCGGCTTCTGGAGACATGCCGCCTTCTGGATCTGGCCTCACGTCCTGCCTTTCCAGCTCAGAGTCTGCTGACGCTCCTGGGAAAGAATCAGGAGGACAAGAATGACCAACCCATTCTAGAGAATTTACTCCACATGAGCAAGGTGCCCAAAAGGCCAATAAGGTTTCTAGAAGTGTGGCCATAAGAACAAGAATTCAGAAACATAAAGTTTTGGACTAGAAAACCTTTTGGCTGGGGGGATCCTGTGGGGGGATCCAAAAAAGGGGAGATTTCTTTTTGTTTAAATATTTTGGTTAATTTTCAATAATATACCAGCAAATAAAACAGCGCTAGCATAACAACTTAAAAAGAAAGAAAAAAGAAACACAATTATAGCACACATTTTCGACTGCGTGCTCCCCCCCCCTTTGAGACTAGTTTGCATATTTATTTTACTTTATATTTTCTAACTGCCCCATTTCTCTCCAGAAATATAGTGATTCCTCTCCAGGGGTATAACTTTTCCTTTCCTCAAACACATGTACAAAAATTAAATTCCCTATTTCTTTAAAATTATTTGTATTCAATATTCCTTTCTAATCATGCAGGATGGGGTACTCTGGGAGTTGTAATTCAAAAATGTAACATATTGAAGCTTTCATATGTCAATGCATTTTCACTGCTTCTCCTGTGAATATAAAATGTTAGGAAGGCCAAATGTGCTGACAGATAGGGGAAAATCTTCCTGTCTGGTACTCTAGGAAGTAACCAAAGATCCACAAAATTAAGTGTTTCGACTCTAACGCCAACCCTGCAAGACAGCAATGCCCCCAAAAAGCACAGGCTCCTGACAGATGTTTGAGGCAAGCATGGTTTCAGTAACACCAAACCCTTTTGCTCCACAAGAATGAAATAGCTGTAAAATGTTTCTATTTTATTAAAGGTGGTGAAAAACTTAAAAAGCAAAACTTCAAAGCAGCATCAGAAGTTAGAGGATAATCAAAAGACTTGTGGAGCAAAATAAGCAAGAGCCATTTCAGAAAAAAAAAAACACATGAGAATAAGAAAGCCACCTAACCTTTGCTAATGGCCTTCAGAGCATATATGTAGTGCAAATCCTGTAGCAAAGTCGCAGATGAGCATAGCATTTTGCTAAGAGATAACTAGGCTAAACTAAGTGACTTCTGTCCCCATTTTTATACCCCAAGTTCTACTTTCCAAACCCTTCCAGAAGATCTGCCAATCAGGTGCTGCATCTCCCTGAACTTTCATGAAGAAAAAAGTTACTTCCCCCCCTTTCCTTCACTTAGCAGAAAACATTATCCTAAATAACTCAATATCAAGGAGTAAGCTCAGTCCATCCTTGTAGTTTCTTTTTTCAGAGATTAAGGCACAGATGTTTGATGCCTTCCAAGTACCCATGGGCATTCTCCCTCCTCAGTCAGTTCATCCTAGGCACAAACTACAAAACCCAATTTTCCAGATGAGCAAAATACCCACAATCTCTTATTTTCCCCCAGCTTAAGAGGGTCAGAAAAGTGGTCCCAAAGATAGTCAAACTGGAAATTCTCCCCTGTCTCATCTGCCCTGGAGCAACAATTGTGAATGGAAGACAGCAAGAGCATAGGAAGAACAAGACGGATTATGGTATACTGTTTAAAATCCTGAATTAGCATCAAGGAGAGCTGACTTCAGACTGCCTACTCATGAAGGTCTCAGTCTGATCTTGGCATGAGCCAGTCAGCCTCTTTTGTGCTGAACTACTTTTGTGCAGAGAAACAGTTTGGGAATGGAAATATGTTAACATCTCTGAGCACATCAGAGGAAAAGCAAGATTAATGTGCAAATACTGAATAAAAAAGAAGGTCCAACGCAGCAGGGCAATTTTGCAGTTCTGCACTAGAGACCCAACTTCCAGATCTTTACCTGACCCAGAGAGGCGCTCTTGGAGGTCACTGGTACTGTCAGGTGAGTGCCACGGGCCAGTGCCTTCCTGCTCCTCTTCATCAGCAGGGAGATCTACAACAGAATCCAGGCGGCCATCCAGTTCTGCCATCAAACTTTGAGAGAAAGAGAAACACAATCTTAGACTGGCAGTCTTTCAAAACAGCTGAGTTTTGTTTACTAGAAAGTCCACCTTCCAGATGTTGTCAAACCCATCTCTACAGGGAGTACATTCTCAAGAAAGGTCAGTTAGACATGAAAACAAGAGCAAAAACACATCAGAGCTGGCTGATCTCCCCGCCTTCTGTAGCACCACACCCAGAGAGATGTTGGATTTCTGCTTCAATCCCTTCATCCACACTAAAGGTTGAGAAAATGACCTTTTTTGGACTACAACTCGGGAAATCCCCTGGCCAGCATGGCAAGGGGATTCTGGGAGATGTAGTCCAAAAAAGTCACTTTCTGAAGGTGCCCAAAGCCATTCTTCCTAACCATGAAAATCTATGAGTGGATTGGCTAAAAGTCAACCCCAAATTCTTCTTTTTTTAAATAGCTGCTATATAAACAAAAATGGGTCGGAAGAAGCTTTCAACCCAAACAACAGCAGAAAGGGCTTGAGGGATTAAGAGAGAGATATTTCTTGTCATTTTGCCAGAGGACGGGAACATTCAGCAGAAGACAGCACCCTTGAGAAGTTCAGATGTTGCTTTTCTTTGAGTAACAAGAAGGGAGAAGGTCACTGATTTTTCAAGAGATACTCCATCTGTTGATTGAACCAGAGAGGGTCCCGCCTCTCCCTGGGCAGGTTCCAACACAGCCTCTTGCAGTGTTTCCTTTCCCACTGAAAGTATGAGTAAAGTGTGACATAATCACCACTGCATGCATTGCATATTTTCTTGACACTCTGCAAGTCACTTCTTCAGAACACAAGAGTTTTCAAGCACAGGACAGGGGTCAGTGGGGGCATAAATGCTGAGACCAGTTTGTGGGACATTTATACACCTTGCCCTCCGGCTCTCTAAGATGTGGGGAAGACGAGGCCCACAGGAAGTGACAAGTGGCCCAAGCATTAGGCAGAGTGAAGCAGCCCCCCCTCCAGCTTCTTATTTGTGATGTCATGAAAGGGCAGTAAATGCTTTCTTAAGAGCAGCAGAAGAGCCGTGCAGGATCAGTCCAAATTTAGGCCTATCTAATCAAATACAGTGGTGCCTTGACCACTGGTGCTTCCTTGGCTGGGAAGCACCAAACACCGCTTTGTCCAAAAAATGAACTGGCACAAATCATCACACTGGCACCTCTAGTAGCCACTGATGGCCCCCCCGCCCTCCACAAATTTGCCCAATCCCTTATCTAAAGTAGTCCACATTGTTGACCCTCACTATCCAATGCCACTATTTGCCTGTGTGCTGCATGAAGAAAACACTGGCTGAAATGTTATGTGTTTATATCACAAAACCTTTCCTGTTAATTACCTGCCAGCAGAACTCAGTCGGCATAAATCTCAGGCACGAATGGCTCAACCAAGAAGTCAGTGTAGGTATTTTCTGTTGGGTGCCAAGCACTGGGACTCTACAAATAACCACAAATGCCTATGCTGACTTCTTAACTTGGATGTGTAGTCCACCGTGCACTTTGGTAGGAGAGGAAGCACCACCAATAACAGAGGAAAATACTGAAAGCCTTTCCGAGAGAATGGAATGAAAATGAAAATGCCACTTATTTGGTGCAGAGGTACTTAAGATGAGGAGCAAAAGAAGGAAACGCTGTTCGACAGAGGCTGGTGTCCCTACTTTCAAGTGGTTTTGAGACCGTGAATGCATTACACATGAGTAGAAGGCACGGCAATCGAATTTAGAAGCCCTGCCAGGGAATAATAATATAAGGAGCATGATAGTTCATAGAAAACAATACTTACAATGTTTTTTTTAAAAAAAATCACCACCTATAGCAGATCTACACAGATGATAATGCCAATATGTAACAGCTTTCTTCAAGCGACTAGTCTCCAGATGTGTTTGACTGAAACTCTCATCATCCTCTGCAAACATACAACTGCCTGGCCACTACCGTGTGCGCACTGCCCCATTCCTCAACACCCTAGGGTCTCCTGTCACAAAAAATCCTAAGGATGCTGCTGAGAAGCAAGACATATTGGGGAGTGCATGGCCCGTTTTGCAACAGAATCACACTCCCAGTAAGCTGCTGAGAGTGTAACTCTGCAGGAAGACGACGGGCGCTCCCCGCGCACCACGCTTTGCAACAGAATCAACGATGGTCACAATGAAAGATGATGGCAAGAGCAAGAGGGTACGGGGATCTCCGAGAGTTATTAAGGAGCAATGCAGCCATCACTACTGCAAAATGCACGCCCTCCACTTACAACGGGTCTCCTGCGCTCTTGTTCCCAATATCTCGGCAAGCCCGGCGTTGACAATCAAAGGACTGACCATACAAGTTCTTACACACAAATATTTCAGCGACAGGAGAAAGAATCTGCCACATCGCCAGGCCAGAACAGGTCTTTTTTTTTTCTTGCCCAGCAGTATATCTTTCGTCCAAATCAAGGCCAGGTCCAAGCCTGTTTCCTCTTCCTGCCACAAGCAAACCATAAGCGGTCTCAGCCCAAAGCTGTTCTTCCAGTGTGACCACCATGCTGGAGGCAAAAATATAATATTTTCCCTAACGTAATACAGTATTACTGAGGCTGCCTCCTCGATATCCGTTGCGCTATCACTCTCCAAAGGCCCTCCCCAGGATATACTGGGTGGGGGGATTACGGAAATTTCAGTCCAGCGCTTCTGGAGGGCAGGAGGTCGGGGAAAGCTGGCGTAATCCTTCAACACCCCTGTTGCAACTCCAGCTAGGCATGAAAACAGAAAAGGCAGAACAGATTATGGATTCCTAACCTGGAAGTTGGGGAGGCAGCAGAACTTGTCGGGGAGTCATCACTCTTCGGGCTTACGGGTTCTAAAGCACTGGAGGAACTGGCCGGTGTCTAAGAAGCAAACAGACAAAGCGGTGTACCTGTTCCAGGTAAGAAGCAAAGCCTCACTGTGGCTCCCATACATGGTGGAGGTGATGCTTTCAGCTTGCCGCTGAGTCAGAAATGAAACCCCGAGTGAGTCGGAAACGACAGCAGGGAGTGGCACCACCAGATTAGTCACTGGGCTATTTGGAAAAGTGGGAAGAGCTTCTTCATTTCTCTTCTCTTGGAGAGTTTCTGAAGCTCCAGACCTGCTTTATTGACAACCCATGTGTACCCACGAAATGGTTGCCTATGGCGGCCAGCGCTCTCCCTCTGCTTGGTGATAGGAATGACTTAGCAATGGAAGATAAGACTGACAAGGGGTGCTCAGGCCAATGTCCCACTTGTGTTGAAGGGAAGGGACTGCCGGTCACCCATTCAACGGTGCCCAATCCACATACACATTCCACATGATGAGCCCATCAGGATTCTGTCTCAAGCCCTCTGGGAAGGCCGGCCTGTGTGTGGAAGCACCTTCTTGCAGAACTTTTAAGAGCTACAATTAGGGACTACATCACCCATGAACCACACAGCCAACAGTGGGCACCACGAGCATCAAGTAGGCCTAATTATGCTGGGCACAGATTCCATCACCCAGATATACAAACATCCACAATATGGGAATTGTAGGGCGAGATACATGGAGGACCACAATCTAAGATAGACTCCTTCAGGTGTGGCTTACCTGTTGCTGAGCTGGCGATGGTGGGGGGCTAGAGGACTCTAAAAACACAAGCGGGACCTTCTTCAGCACCAGAGTGACCGGATTTGACTCAAGAAGTTTCTTCACCAGATTCATCCGGGTCCAGCCCACCTGCAGATTATCTTTACATTACTCCTACTTCTTCTTCCTTTTATAAACATTCATTTTACATTTGGCATTTTTTTCAATTGATCTTCCTTGCTTTTAGCAACTCCCTTGCTGCTGAGGAAAGGGCTTTTATTGGTTTGTGCCTGCATACCTCACGTGTTTCTTTACCGATGTGCCTTTAAAACAGCTTTCCATTGGATGGCCCTTTAACGGTACAATGTATTCCTCTAAGTTTTAATATTATAATTTCCCGTGCTTTAACTGGTGTTTCTTAAATTCTGATTCTGAGCCATCCTGAAACCCACCCAGTTGGGATATAAAATGAAGTAAATACATGAACAAGAATCATTTCCCTATAGCATTAACTTGGGTTAAAAAAAAGATAATGTGTTTTGGATCAAGATTTTGGCAGTCCTATAGAAAGATGGTTTTAATGGGCTCTCCTGTTTGAATGGCCTCAGCTTCTTACCCACTGTTAACATGGCGCATGCAGTTGCCCTTTCCTGCTGGTTCCTTCTTCATATTTTATTTTTATGTAAAATAGTTTTACCTTGCCTTTCTGGTAAAAGAAAAGGTCCCAGGGCAGCTTACATAATTAAAAAGGCAATATTTAAAAGCTAAAAACAGTATGTTAAAAAGAGCTGAATAAAAAGTTTTTAAACAAAAAGACAGATAAAAACATTACTAAGATTGAAAAGCAACAAAAATACAAAGCATCCCATTTAAACATCCCTCTTAGGCAGCCGGTCACTAAACCTGCCTTGAAGACAAAGGCCTTCAGCCTCCTTTCCCTCCTTCTCATGCCCAGAAACTGCAGGTAAACACAACAAACAACAAGCAGAAAGAGGAAGAGGGCTAGGATACTCTGGGACTTGGTAAATGAACCCTGTTCTGAAATGTGCGTCTTGCCAGGAGCCCCAAAACACCACCTCTTGTAGGAATATAAACAATAATCATGAGTCGTCAAGTCAAATCTGATAATGGTGACCCTTTTTAGAGTTTACCAGGTAGAGAGTCTACTCAGGAGTGCTTTACCCTTCCCTTCCTCTAGGGGGCAACCTTGGGACTGCGCAGCTTGCCCAAGGCCACACAGGCTGGTTCTTCTGAGATGCACAGTGGGGAATTGAACTTCCAACATCTGGCTCTGCAGCCAAATGAGCTAGAGCGCCTAAGAAAACGTATAGCACAGAAAAATAAACGCTCATGCTATCACTGGAGCACTGGACAGTTTGCTTACAAAAATAGGAGATTCTGCATATAACTCCCATTTATGGAATTTTGTGGAAATATTAACCAACAACCCCAGCGGTATAACCTCTGTGTTTGGTTATAGCTTCTTAAAACAGTTGATGTGTTTACGGCTGGAGGCAGGCTGAAGAACTGTGGCTAAGCACTGGTGGCTGCTGCTTAGGCAATCCACCTCCAGTTAAAAATGAAAGGCCTTCAGGTAGCAGAGCTCAGAAGGATCTTTCCCGAAGCCCTTGGAGGGCCACGGTTGGCCTAAAGTGATTCAATACTTCCAAATGTATGTTCCACCTTCAATTTGGAGTCAGTAAGGCGAAAAAAAGTTAGCTAGCATGTAAACCAAGTTAGTGAGACACAGAAAGCAGGAACTAGCATTTTTTTTAAAAAAAAAAAAGTTAAAATATAGCTTGGCAATGCCTTCTCCTTGGAAACTGAAGGAAACTCAACTCTGTCCTGAAAGATAAACAAACTGCCCATCCATAGCTGCTTTTAAGGGTCTTTAAAAACAAAACTGTTCTTTCTGGCTTCTGACTGAAGTTCTACAATATTTGCTGCTGTTAGGTATTTGGAACTGTATTATATTTCTACATTAAAAGTGCTTTTGTATTTGGTTAAGATAATGAATTTTACTGATCATATACTGTAATCTGCCTGGGTATGAACAAAGCCTTAAAAGGCGGCTAAGAAAGATATCAAATACATGAGGTATATTGGCTTTATTTGGCTAGGGACCTCTGCTCTAGCTAACTTAAGTGAATCCTGCCCAAGTCAACGGCTAGGCAGATAAACAAAGAAGAGGTCCATACTTACCACCACCTGATTGTTGACTTGCACTATTTCATCTCCGGGGAGGACTTTGCTGGAGAGTTCATCCAGGGACTGGAATGGAAGTCAACGAACGGACACACACAGAGAACAACATTAAAGTCAAAACTCTTCTTGCTTGGAGGGATAAAGAGGCAATGTGGATACCTGTGCCGTTGGCAGAGCCCAAGTAAGGAGCTTTCTGGACAGTGAAAGTCGGACTGGCAGGGGGGTAAGCTGGAGGGGATTAAGTATTAACTTCAAGCGCTGACCTTTAGAGTAATTCCAGCTCAATAAAGGATGCCGAGTGAATGAAGGAACTAGCTGTGCTGAGAAGCCCAGGAGAGGGGGGAAAAGTGTTGGCCGCGTCTGGCGGTGACGACGCAGAGGCACCACCGGGGCTGGGGAGACGACAGCCAAGCAGGTGGGCTGGGCCACATGCCTCTCAACCATTCGACAGTGAAATATGAGCTCCCTTTCCTTGCTGGACTCAGCTGGCTTCACTGGAGAGCTTGGAAATGTTACTTTTGGGGACTATCGCTCCCAGAATCCCTTAGACAGTTCAGTTACTGGAGAAATTCTGGGAGAGAAGGTCCAGAGGAGTCACTGTTCCGAGTTCTGCTTCCTTGGTTGGGTCCTTTCAGGGACACGAATCGCTGCCGTTCGTAAGACTGCCATTCACATCACAGGGATTTTTGGCAAGTCTTTGAGTTTGAGTCTTTGGGACTAAGTTCCAAACCCCAAGTCTTGAGTCCTTACTAAAAATAAACTTTTTCCCCCCCAGAAAAAAAAAGAGAGGAGGTGGGTGGGTTCTGAGTCGCGACTCAAGCCCAAGTCATTGACAAACACACCCCAGTTGAATCTGAGTCAAGTTGCTGGTGTGACTTAAGTCCAACTTAAGTCCAAGTTGCTTGGTGTGACTTAAGTCCAACAGCGAGTCCCGCACGTTGAGTCCCCATCCCTGGTTCATATTCCCTTCCCTTCCTAGAGGAACACATTTGAGAAGAAGAGCCGAAGCCCCGCAGAAGCTCTTTTCCCTCACCCTACTCACCTGTGGGGCAGTTCCGGATATGAAATGGAGACAGGATGGGGAGGACTTGATCTCAATGCCCTGGAGAGAGAGAGAGAGAGAAAATTTAGGAGAGGGCCTTCTCAGAGCAAACTCTGGCTTGGGAAAGGTTGGGGAGGTGGCACCAGGCTTCCACGACGGAGCACTTCCTTGCCAGCCAGGGTGTGTTCGGTTCCCAGACTCTCCGGTTAAGAGACCGAGGCTTCAGATAACGAGAAGGACTCTGTGCCAGTATATCACCAGTCAAAGTGTACAGGACGAGACGAGGTAGACCAACCGTCCGATTCCGTATGAACTTAGTAAAGTTACTTTTGGGAACAACGACTTCCAGAATTTACTGGGAGATGTCATACAGAAAAGGAACTTTTCCAAACTGTGCCTCAATCATGGGCAGAGGGGAAAAATATCCAGGAAGACATGTCGTCATTGTACCAACATTCTTTGCAATACGAAAACATTGCTTACATATACATAGGCAAACATGATCCAGCTTATACGCACGTAGAGGTGGTATTATTTATTGACTGACTTTTTGTTCTGTGGCAGAGCATGTGTTTGGCAGGCTGAATGGCTCATGTTCAACCCTCAGCATCTCCAGGCAAGACTGGGGGGGGGGGAAAATCCCCTCTCTGAAACTCCAAGAGTCACTGTCAGTCAGCAGGGATAGCACTGAGCAAGATGGACAGATGGTGTGACTCAGAATAAGGCAGACTCAGTTTATAAATGCATCACACACGGAGGACATGCACCAATCTTCCTGGTTTTCCATTTCTGCCCCCAACAGCCTCCACTGGATGCTTGCCAAATGCACTCACCGGATTACCGAGAGTGTCCTCCCCCTCATTTCCTCCTCCTACTTCCCAGCTTTTCTTTCTGGCTTTCTGCCTGCAATGACCTTGCTCCTCCCTCCCCCCCCCCAAAAAAAAACACACCCCAGCGTGAGGCTCACCAAACTGTCTTCTGGGCCTGTTGGGACGAGCTCCACCGTCTCCAAAACAGCACTTTGATTCAGGAGATCGGCTGGACTGTAAGTCAAGATTTGTGCACAGATCCCAGAGATGTACCTCCCCTGCAGAGTGGAAAGAGCAAAGGCACGTTTCCTTAAAAGACAACGGATGGATTTGGCCCCGGACGACAAAAGATTGCAACAACGGCTCAGCCAGGATTGGCTGAACTGAGAGTGCCGTGGATGGAGTGTGTCTGCTAAGTAGTGTGCAAGGGGGTATCCAGGAACCTCTTGTGCAAGCCGTAAGTCTAATAGTCCTTGAGCGATTTCCTCCAGCACAGATACTTGTGCAAGAGGGAGATACCTCTTATTGCACTTCTTGTGCAACAGAGCAGAACACACTTGCTGCTTATTCACAGTCTTTGTATGGTGCATAATTTTATAAACCAGCCATCCATTTCCATAGCTAGACTGCTCACTTTTTTTCCTAACTTTGTGGCTCAGGGCTCGTTTTAAAAGGTTCTTCCAAAGACCACACACAACGTTAACTTGCTGTGCCATGTTCACAGGGCTGGCCACAGCGACAAAAAGTCAACACTTGCCGAGTTTCGTAACTCAGTAGGGACCACAGCCAAGAACTTCCAAGTCCCAACAACCTGGAATTATTAGCTTCCAAATGCTTAGATGAAGACGGGGGACTCTTGCAAGGGGAAAATGTCAAGAAAGTAAACAGAAGACCACAAGCTCAAAAGTTAGGTCCTGCTGTTTCTTCTCTTCCCATATCAGAGACTGACAGACTGCAATACTTACAATTAGCAGGATCCGATCCTCCCTCTCAGACACGGTGCAGTCCTACAAGATCAAAGACAAGGAAAGATACACTGACATGGGCCAAAGGAATGTCAAATAGATGGCAGGCAAAGGCGGAACACAGAAGGGGAAATTACGGTGCCACCACGTTGACAAATAATGTGGGAAATCTTCCAGGATTTGAATGGTCTGGTTCACCTTGTTTACTGTTGACTACATGACATAAAAGTCAGTGTGAATCAGCCTGGCGTTCCCCTCATCTGTAGTTCTTTCCTCCCTGTCTGGGGCTCCTACTTTTTTGGAATGGAATGCTTTAGCATCGGTTCAGGCGGTGTGATTGCTTGAGCCAGTGTGGAGGGTTTGTAGCTGTTTTATTTGAAGCCATTTCACCTGGCTCCAGCAGCAAGGAGAGAAGCAGGGAAACCGGTTGCTCTTTGACTCCTCTCCTCCCCACTCTTGGTGTCTGGGTCTGTTGTCATCTTCCCTTTCCTTCCTCCTTCCCTTTCCTTTAAAGGCTCAGCAATCTAGTGTAGAGGCAACTAGGTGATCCAAATGGGGGAAAACAGTGAGGAACTGGCAGAGAGAGGAAGTTTTCAGATAACTCTGTTCTAACAGTGCTTCCTGCAAATCTGGGCATCTAGAGAAGAGCAGGGCTATCGGAAGAAGCTGAAAACTAGGCTGAAGTGAAAACTTCCTCCTATCTCTCTGCCAGTTCAATTTTTTCCTCTTTGTTCACCTAACTGGTGAACTAGGATAGCAAGCTTTTAAAAGAGAGAGAGAGAGAACATCCAAAACTAGATCTACTGGTGAGAGTTAGGAAAATAAGTGCGAGCACCTCCTGCCCTATTCATTTTCCTTTTTTTGAGTGAAAACTTCCTCCTAGAGAGAGAGAGAGAGAGAGAGAGAGAACATCCGAAACTGGATCTACTGGTAAGAGTTAGGAAAATAAGTGTGAGTACCTCCTGCCCTATTCATTTTCCTTTTTTTAACGAATAAACTTTTTCTTTCTTTTGGGGGACACCACCACATTCTCCTCCTCCCTCTTTCAGGGAGGTCTCTTGTCCGTGCCTCACCGGCAGAGTTGGTGGAAGATAATGCCGCTAGTTCCAAGTGCCAAAATGGCTCATGATGGCTCTGGCCCTTCAACCAGTCTACTCCATTGCAACGTTTTAATCCAGTCCTGTTGTGTCTTCGATACCAGGCACAGGTAAGGGACATGTGGCCTGTCAAATGTCATTGCACTATAAGTCCCATCATCCCTTACCACTGGTTATGGCAGCTAAGGCTGCTGAGAGCTGTAATCCAACAATGTAAGTTATGTAACTCAAACCAAGGATCTTGTACCTTCTTTTCTGCAAACCGAAGCCATGTGTGCTAGATTACATGCAGAGATACACAAATAGATGCACATATTTACATGAATACATGCACACACCACAACTTATACAATTAAGCCCCATTAAAAAGTGGTGCCATGCATCAGGCACACTAAAAACCAGAGTAAATAGTCACAAGAAATCAAGTGGCTATGCATAAAATATCCACAGAATAATATACCTATAGTAACAGATAGAAACACAACCTCTCAATTTTCCATCTTTCTCTATACAAAATGAAGAAGTCTTCATCTCTTTACTTTTTCCTACAATGCAACACGCTCTTACTAATCCTCTTCCTTTTCTTTAACTACAACACTGTACTTTCCGGGGTCCTTGCTATCAAAATCCTCTCTCTCACACACACACACACACGTCATTTATTTGCTTTCACACTCTCTCTTCTCCTAGGGCTCATGTGCTCTCCCAAGAGAAACACTTATGATCAGGATTCTGCAGCTCCCTGCATAGATTCCTTCCTAGAAAGAGATACACATATACAGATGTAATTTATACAGATAAATTACTTTTGAATATCTTACCTACCAGGGTATATCGGAACAAGCGTTATCATCCATACATTTCTTTCCCTTTGCTGGGTCTACGGTCCACTGATAATTTGTATTCCTGCAACTCAACCACCCAGCCCCGATTCCAATCTCAAAGCATGACTCACTGGATTATTTCTATAAAAGACAACACATGCACTCCCTCACTCTTTCCCTCCCAATTTCTTTTACCTCCCTCTCCTCGTCCTCTCTCCTCCCAACCTCTCTCATCAGCTGTCACTTCCCTTCAGTTCATTTAAGTTCAGCTTTCGCCTATTCTGTTGACCAAGCCGGAGCCAAGGAGCTCAGCAGCCCCCAGACCGAGTAGATGACTGATATCTTGTTACTTCATATGTGATGAAGAGATTCCATTTTTGTGTCATGTCACATGGCAGTTTCTCCATAACTCCGCGACTCAGTTCTGACCCCACAGCAAGCCATGATGAAGGAAGCTAAGATAGATTATTGCTGTTATTGATAATCATATTAGCAACAACAACTTTATAAAGCTGTGTCTTGCTTTTCTTTATATGCATTAATTCAAAGTTCTTTACACTGTGAGATCAATAACATACATATAAAAACTTACTTGTAGTTAGACTGATCTTATTGTGTTTCCCCGAAAATAAGACAGGGGTTTTATATTAATTTTTGCTCCAAAAACTCATTAGGGCTTATTTTCAGGGGATGTTTTATTTCACAGTTATGTCATCTTCTTCTAGTTGCTGCACAGTGGTGGAGGGAAGGGTTCCATTTAACTGGGGCTTATTTTTGGGATAGGGCTTATATTACGAGCATCCTGGAAAATAATACTAGGACTTACTTCCAGGTTAGGTCTTATTTTCGGGGAAACAGGGTATGTCCTATTTTATTGGGGACCGAGTTTGGAAAAATACCTTCTGGGGTTACAACTCTCAGGATGGGAGATTCTGACAGCTTTAGTTTTAAAAGAAGCTTTTTTCCAAGCTCTGCTTCTTGTAAGCACAAATTCTTCCAGGGAATTTCATTTTAGCTTCCAAACTGAAACATGCACACCAACCCACTCCTGAAGCTTTCTTGACCTCAGCTGCCCAGTTAGGAAGACCAGCTAGGGTATAAACACTATTACTATGCCCAACTAGAATAGACCCATAGAATAAAAGGAGTTTATAAAAGGGTTGACATCACATTGTCAAACCAGAGCACCAGTGTGGAGTAGCAAGTAAAATGCTGGATGAGGACTCAGGAGACCTCGGTTCAAATCCATCCTTGGTCATGGGAACTCACTGGGTTGACAACAAACACTTGGGCATCTCATATACCATAAAAACCCTACCAGAGTTGCCCTAAGTTGGAAGTAACTTGATGTCACACAGCAAAAACAAGTTGTTCAATAACTGGGAGCCACAAACCTTTGCTGATCTACTGAAAATTATCTTCTAACCGATCCCTATCTAAGATACCAACAGTGAAGCTCTACAAAGGGTGCCAGCACGGTCATGAGAAAGCAGATAGTGATCACTGATTAAGGGCTTTTTTTGCCATGCAAGTTTTCATCAGTATGAGATACAGTGGTGCCCCACTTGACGATTACCCTGTTAGACGATGAAACTGCTTGACAATGAGTTTTTTGCGATCGCTAGGACGATGAAACTGCTTGACGATGAGTTTTTTGCAATCGCTATAGTCAGTTTTAAATGCATTTCAATGGGTTTTTTTCTGCTTGATGACGATTTTGCTTAACAGCGATTTTAATGGAAAGCATTATCGTCGTCAAGCGGGGCACCACTGTACCTAGCTTTTAACCAGCATAAATGTTCCCTAGCATGACATATTTCAGGTACTCTCAAGTGGCAACCATAATTGCCAGTCGTCATCATCATTGAGCTGGACCATAAAGAAAGCTGAACGCCAAAGAATTGATGCTTTTGAATTGTGGTGCTGGAGGAGGCTCTTGAAGGGATGTGGTGGTGCTGTGGGCTAAACCGCAGAAGCCTCTGTACTGCAGGGTCAGAAGACCAGCAGTCATAAGATCGAATCCACGCGATGGAGTGAGCTCCCATCGCTTGTCCCAGCTTCTGCCAACCTAGCCGTTCGAAAGCATGCAAATGTGAGTAGATAAATAGGGACCACCTCTGTGGGAAGGTAACAGCGTTCCGTGTCTAAGTCGCACTGGCCATGTGACTACGGAAACAGTCTATGGACAAAACACTGGCCCTATGGCTTGGAAATGGGGATGAGCACCGCTCCCTAAAGTTGAACACGACTGGACAAAAATTGTCAAGGGGAACCTTTACCTAGAAGACTCTTGAGAGTTCCCTGGACTGCAAGGAGATCAAACCTATCCAGTCTAAAGGAAATCAACCCTGAGTGCTCACTGGAAGGACAGATCCTGAAGCTGAGGCTCCAATACTTTGGCCATCTCATGAGAAGAGAAGACTCCCTGGAAAAGCCCCTGATGTTAGGAAAGTGTGAAGGCAAGAGGAGAAGGGGACGACAGAGGACGAGATGGCTGGACAGGGTCATCGAAGTGACCAATATGAATTTGACCCAACTCCGGGAGGCAGTGGAAGCCAGGAGGGCCTGGCGTGCTCTGGTCCGTGGGGTCACGAAGAGTCGGACAAGACTAAATGACTAAACAACAACAACAACATCATCATCTACAAGAGACACAGGATATCAGAAAACCTAGAATACACATACCCTTAGAGGTATCACCTTTGATCCCCACCCCAGAACGTATGCATTCATTGATAAGTTCAATAAATGCATAAGTTCAGCCACACTTCATAATGCGTATCAGGGCAGGTTACAAAGCCATGCCCAATTCACCATACAAAATAAACCCTAAAGACCACCCTAGTCTCACACAACAGGATAAATTATACAAATGAACACCAATATAACCACAACCACAGAGAGGCAACAAAGCAGAAAAGGATAACAGATGTCTCTCCATAAAAAGTAAAAATGGCAAATAAGGTGAAATAAGGTGTTAGATTTCAGCTCCCATCAGCCTGAGACAAACTCATCAGAATCTAGAAAAATTAGTGGTCAAGGAGGATAAGAATGGCAGTCCAATGTCCTCTGGAGAACCAAAGATCTCCTCCTTCAGTGCCAAAGAGACGGGATTCTGCAGCTAGACTCCCCATCACAGACATCTCCTAGTTCAGTGCCAAAGAGATAGGATTCTGCAGCTAGACTCCCCATCACAGAGATGACTTACCTTTTGCACCAGCTCGGCTAGATCTCCACAGAGCCAAATGATATCTCGGCTTGCTGAATAGTCATGCAAGTGGGAAAAGAGATACCTGTAAGAAGAGAGCAGTTAAGTCCTCCCAGGAAATATTCCTCCAGATATTGTGCTACAATGAAAACTGGCAAAACCACAGCTTTGGGATTCTGGGCATTGCATTCTGGGCGTTGCAGTCCCAGGCAATAATTCCTCCAAGCTCTGGGCAAAACTGAAACAATCAACAAATATTGGGCCAGTGTACACAGGGCAAAACCCGAGATCACGAAGAACTCTTGACCTGCATGGATTCAGCAGGATTCCGCTAGAAAACTGGTATTCGCAGATCAAATAAAAAAAGAAATCCACCCTGCTTTGGGACTGTTGTATAAAGATGCTCATAGATATAGCTGGATCCAAAAACAGTGAATTAGCCAGCTTCCTATTGACTCACCACTGACCAAATGTAATCACACACCCATAGCAGGCGGAAACATATGGAGCTTTCAGGTATGCATAAGAGAAATCAGGCGAGTTTCCACAGCTAATCGATGAGGTGCCAAGCATGTGACACGAGACCTGCACTCCATCGATTAGCAGCTTCAGCTTCCACTGTTCCTCCTGTACACGCATTGAAGCCCTAATAGAATTTGCCTAGGATGGCGATATGTCCAACTTTACAAAGGGCAGTTTTCTATTTCAAGGGCTCTCCAGGACATGCCTTTATTTGAAGGTGTCCCGTTTCTGAAGGACTATCCTGTCCAAGCCCAGTTTTAAAAATAACCATAAGGAGGGAGAGCAGAGGCCTTGATGTTGTCCATCCACAGTGACTATTGGGTCCAAAAACCGCCAGGCAGGCCTGCAGGTCTCCTAAAGACAGTCTTCCTCATCGTGGTGACATTAACTGCTATTTTAATGTGATAATTATTTTTGAAGTCTTAATTTATGCCTATAAATTAACACACAAAAATGTTTCCTCCTCTTTGGGGGATGAGTATATTTTGAGGGCACAATACATAAATGGGCCACTCTACAGATACCGAATGCAAAGTTGACTATGGCTTTCCATGCCAAGCTTTGTATATAGGTATAGCGCATTGCATTTTTGCACTGCATTGTATTGTATTGTATTCTGCTGTGACACCATGGATTGTTGTGCTTCCTACAATTTTTTTTACATTTGTAAACATTGAGCTGGTTGAGTCATAATGCTTTACAATCATTTTAACATTTAAAGGAGGGAAGCGTAGACAAGTCTTACATTTCTACGCCACGGTGCTGTTAGGGCAGGACTTTGGGGACACAAGGGACAAGGCAGTCAGAGAGAAGCTATACTTTGAAAAGACAACTGCCCGAATCCCCAGGCTGTGCTGGCTGGGGAATTCTGGAAGTTGCCAACCGAATAAAATATCTTATCTAAGCGGTGTCCCAAATGTAGCCAAGTGGGTGTCGTGCATGTTGAAATCAGCCTAATCGTTGTGCATGACAACCTAAAGCAAGGTTGGCAAAGTTCAGCTCTCTGGATTCCTTTAGACTCAAGTTACGGGTACAGTGGTGCCTCGCAAGATGAGCGCTTCGTAAAACGCCGAAATCGCATCACGATGAAGTTTTTGCAATCGCAAACGTGATCGCATAATGATGTTTCCTATGGGTTTTTTTCGCTTTGCAATGATCGGTTCCCTGTTTCGCTAACCGATTATCGCAAAAACGAAGATTTTCGCACAGCTGATTGGCGGTTTCAAAATGGCCGCCGGCTAAAAAAAATGGCCGCCCGCTGTTTTCTGGGATGGATTCCTTGCTGCATGGGCAGCAAAAATGGCCGCGCTATGGAGGATCTTCGCTGGACGGTGAGTTTGAAGCCCATAGGAACGCATTGAAGGGGTTTCAATGCGTTTCTGTGGGCATTTTAAAATCGCTTTACGATGTTTTCGTTCTACAGTGATTTCACTGGAATGAATTAACATCGTAATGCGAGGCACCACTGTACTCCACATCACCAGTTACAATGATCAGGGCTGATGGGCGTTGTAGTCCAACAACATCCCAAGAGCGACACTTTCACCATCCTTTGCTTAAAGGGGAAAGCTTCATGAGAGAAGGCTAAAGTCTCATATTTACCTACTCTGCACCACTGCCCCCTCCACCCTCCAGAGGGGATAATATTATCTATAATATCAAAATACCTGTTGAGCCATAAGAAGAGACCTTTGGCCGCACCAATGAGCTCCACAATGCAGGCGAGGAGGTCGGAGGGAGGCCTGTCAACAGCGTCTCCGTTGTAGGTGCTGACCTTTCTGCGGCTCAGGATGAAAGCCTGTATTGTCTGAACAACGCCTTGCAGCTTCTCTGTGAGTGTCCGCAGGCTTGACGTCGACAGCTCGTAGTTCTAACGAGAGGTGAAAAAGCCAAGACAGCTCTGTAAAGCAGATTCAAAAAAAATCTATACTGTGATGATAATTTTATCAGGCCAATTCAAAAGTCAGAGGCGAAAAAAATCTGCATAAGCTTTTGGTAACTCCGGATGGCTGCATCAGGCCTGATATTACAAAAAGCCAGAGTGACGACAGGGAAGAGAACTACTATAATCTTAAAGTCACGTAGCCTGCATGCCAAGGGAAGGTCTGCACACTTTCAAACGGGGCTTATCAGGGATCAGAATTCATCCTGAACGGCCCCATGTTTTCTGGAAACAGGAGAAGGCAATAAACTTTGATCTTCATTTGAAAATGCAAACCAATGCATTTGAAGACCCAAAATTAGCTCCCTCCAGTATAATGTTCACAGAACCCTTTCTTGAATTCATGACTCTCTAGATGTTGATGAACAATGACTCCCATCATCCTGCACCATTAACAAAGCTGTCTGGGGCTGACGGGAATTTCACAGCAATAACAATGGTCTGAAAAACCCCAGATTCCCCATTCTGCAAGGGAAGTAGGAGGGGGACCCACTACAGATGCACCAGAAAAATGCCTCCGGGCTCTGGAAAGCATCTCCTAGGATGTTTTTTACAGATATGAACTCACCAACACACAGAGTTGTTCCACAGCTTCCAGGAGGAGCTCCTGATGGCCAACACGTCTCATGCCCAGATCATCTAAGTCCCGGAAAGACAGCCGAAGAAGCTCCTTCCCATTCAGACCCCATGACTCAAATGGGTAATCTTGTAACGCCAGATCCAGTCCTAAAAGATATGGACGGGGAACATTGCATGTCTTTTATGAAACTGGAGCCCTGGATCGGTGGAATCGCCTATCCTTGGCATGCAGCCGTTCCCAATTTTAATCCTGAATATGGTGGGCTGCTCCTCCAAAATGTGTTTGTTTATGCTTTGTCCTTCTCGTTTCAGCACTTGTGGGTGTTGTTGCTATGCCACAGGTGATGCAAAAGACCTTTGCCTAAGATCCATTGCTACTGAATGGGGACAGAACTAGGTTAGCCAGGTCTAAAGGTTGACTCAGTAGAAGGCAACTATGTAGAAAGAGAAGTTAGGCTACTGACATTCTATCACACTGCCCTGCAGCTACTAGCCTTTCAACATTTTCAGATAAGGATATTTTTCAGTTATTATTTGAAAGACTCATGTATGAACCTGACCAGATCTTCTGATGCTCCACAGCCTTGATTTCACTGATGCTGCTGTGATAAACTAGGTCAACAGATTTCAGAGATATAGCCTTTTTGCCGGTATCCCCATAGGCTGCCTTTTTCCCAATAAAGGAGGCTTGCAACATTGAAAGAACAGAATTAAAATCAGAATGAATTAAACAAAAGAACAACAAAAAAACAGCAACCATTAAATTGTGCACTAATTAAAATACAATTAAATAAATAAAAGCAACATTGACATCTAAACAGTGACATCTAAATATTAAAAACTATCTTAAGTTTTAGATGTCAATGTCATTAGACCCATGCTCTACAACAGTGGCCTCCAACCTTGGGCCTCCAGATGTTCCTGGACTTCAACTCCCAGAAACCTTCGCCAGCAGAGGTGGTGGTGAAGGCTTCTTGGAGTTGTAGTCCAAGAACATCTGGAGGCCCAAGGTTGAGGACCACTGCTCTACAAGACAGACTCAACAGCTGTGCCAGCATCACTGCTGGCATGACTGACCACAGTCCAGAAGCAAGATTTTAGGTGTGCCCAATTCCCATATATGCACACAGTCACCCTTTGGGCCTTGCAAACAAACACAGTGTTCACAGCACATGGTACATTAAAATCAGTTATTCTCTTCTAGATTTCAGATCACACTTTGCACAGCTACAAAAGGTGGCAACCTGTAGCATCTCATACTTAACTTTTGAAATGTTATATGCTTATATCCTACTTTCTTCCCAGTTGAGAACCCAAAAAAGCCCATAAATTCAACTTTGGGAGAGGTTTTTGACTAAATACACGGGGTGTCAAGATGTCAGACACCCTGAAAACCTAGTTTACGAAACCAAAGGTAGTTCAGCATCAAACAGTTCTCCACAGAGACTTCATAACTTACTCTGTTCTGCTGAACATGACATCAGTAGAACAAAAACTAAACCTGCAAGCAAATGGAGGTTCAGATGATGTGGCTGAACTTTTTTCCCATCTACTCCCCACATCAGCTTCCAATTTCCTATTTTATTCCTTTGGTTGTAAATACGCAGAGAACACTGCTGTATTAAGGACTCAAAAGCAGGGCAGAAGAAGGAAAAGGGGGACATGATCGCTACTCTCACAGTCTTTTACTTGACACCCGGAAGGCTCGGATGTGTTGTGGCAAAATCACAAACTATTTGGGAAACTGACTTCTCCTTAAACCCCATTGGCCCGGCTGTAATCCCAGTCCTGTCACCAAAGCAAACCCCGCCCAGCCTAGGAATGCATTGAATTCCTGTGTAGGCAAAGGGAAGCCGGGCTGGTTCGCCGGAGCGCCCACCTTCCCTGGCATACCTGCAGCTTTAACCCTGCCGGTCCTGCCTTCTAGTGCCAAGCAGAGCGCTGGAGAAGGGGCGCCCAGTAGCCAGCTGTCCGTCCCTACAGCAAAAGTGGGACACTTTGTCTGCCCAGATGTTGGGCAGCAGAACTTGGGCAGGTTGCTTTTATTTTATTTTATTATTATTATTCTTTTTGGACAACAACCAGCAGAACCCCCTGCCGGCACGGTCCAAAAATAGTAGCCCACCTGAGCACTGTTTTGAATGGTTAACCCCCACCATACCCCAGGGGCCATACTGGAGGAGACAGATGGAAAGGCCGCTTAGTGGGTTTAGGTATCTCCCAGCCAGAGGTTGGGGGTTCGATTCCCCACTGCGCCTCCTCGACAGCAGCTGGCCTCCATGATCCACAACGTTGTCTTCCATAATATTATTATTATTGTAAAGATAATAATAAACTTCTAGCAGTTTTAGCCCGCCAGTCCCCCCCCCTCTGCCCTCCAACCTGGAGGAGGAAGACTCCCCAGTGTGTGTGTCTGTGTGTGTGTGTGTCCTCCGTCCCTCCCCGGAAACCCCACACCTGTCCGACCTGAGCCTAAGACGCCTCTTCTGAAGTCTAGCTCTCCCCACCAACTCCCTTCTCCTCTCACCTCTGTCATGTCCGGCCACCGCCGTCGGATCCCAGGCAGCGATGGGCTCCATGGCAGATGGGAGCCCCCCCTCCTCCCCGGGTTCGGTCCCTGTTCGCTCCTCCTGCTTCCGCGTCAGGGGAGCTGGCGGGCGAAACCTGGGACGCACCTGCGGGTTCCACCCGATCAGCCCGGCTCCTGGTTGGTCCCTCCCTCGTGTCACTCAAGCCGCGAAGCCCGCCTTCTCTATAAAGTGCTGTTTCTCGTAGGCGGGGATCCAGGCTGGAGTAGAGCGGGGTGCGGTGGGGGCGACAATGGGGGGGGGAACAATTCACCCCAGTTTCTCATCTGCGCTCATTCCCTCGCCATCCTCAAGGGAGTTAGTTCATCATGTTCTGGTCCCGCCGAGAGTAGTTCCGAACCGCTCCCCTTCCCACCCCCCCATTTGTTTCGACTCCAAACCGGTTGCTCGGGCTTCATCGCCCTGAAGTTTGGGGGTGGCAAAGCCACGCTGCCCTCCCCGGCGCCTTTCCCCGTGGGAGGAACGCGTCGTGCCGAAACGAGAACAACCATTTGTCCTCCACATTTTCAGCATTTTTGGGGGAGGAAAAATATTTTTCGGGTCGACACCTCCCAGAAACTTCGAGGTTGAGAGATTCTGAGAACGGCTGAGAGATTCTGAGAACGGTCGTTATTTTTTTTAAAAAAGTAACTTTCCCAAACTCACGAAACTTTTCATCAGTTGTAAAACAGCGCCTCCCTACTCTGATTCTTTGCGCGGCGGCTTTCTGACACCTGCGCTGCTGTTAGCTTTGATGTTGTCCTTTCAGGACGTGCACCGCCTTGGGTCTTTTGAAGAAGAAAGATTAAAATAAAATAAATGTAGCCGTACAGGTTTCTGCCCCAGACACCTTGCAGCATCCGAAGCTAGCGTGATAAGTCTACTTCCTTGAAGAAATTCAAGGAGTGGCCCACAAATGTTGGTTCAGAAGTGATGTTCGTGCAATGATTTGGGATTAAAATGTAACAAAAGAGATTTACCAAACTCTTCTTTTTGGGGTGTGTGTGTTCTGGATCCACACAGCTTGCCCAAGGCTACATAATCTGGTTCTTCCCCCTGGAGGCATAGTGGGGAATCAAGCTGACAACTTCAGGCTCTGCCACTGGGCGCCCAACTGACTGAGCTATGCAGCCAAGAGCTGTGCAGTAAAACCATTGTTTTCTTTTTTTCTGCCAGGTAAATTGTCCTAAAGAGCAACAGGGATGAGTGAATAACACAGAAGAGGGTCTAAAACCCCCAGAACAAAAGGGTGAAAGAAGAGTGTAACATGGTGTCAGGTTCTTGTTACTCTTGATTAGTTTTGTTGTTGTTTAGTCGTTAAGTCATGTCCGACTCTTCGTGACCCCATGGACCAGAGCACACGCCAGGCCCTCCTGTCTTCCACTGCCTCCCGGAGTTAGGTCAAATTCATGTTGGTTGCTTCGATGACATTGTCCAACCATCTCGTCCTCTATCGTCCCCTTCTCCTCTTGCCGTCACACTTTCCTAACATCAAGGTCTTTTCCAAGGAGTCTTCTCTTCTCATGAAATGGCCAAAGTATTGGAGCCTCAGCTCCAGGATCTGTCCTACCAGTGAGCACTCAGGGTTGATTTCCTTTAGACTGGATAGGTTTGATCTCCTTGCAGTCCAGGGGACCCTCAAGACTCTCCTCCAGCACCACAATTCAAAAGCATAAATTCTTTGGTGATTAGCCCTCTTTATGGTCCAGCTCTCACTTCCATACATCCCTACAGGAAAAACCATAGCTTTGACTATTCGGACTTTTGTTGGTTGGTTCACCTGCTCCCAAATAGGGTTATGGGTGAAGTTTTCTATGGTGATGACAGATATATGGGGTTGTGACATTAAAAGTGAGAAACCCCCCTACTGCATTTCCATTTTCTCTAACTTTTTAAAAACATATTTTCCTAACTGACGCAGTGCCATTCTAAATCCCCTTTCTAGTCATGTCTGAGATCAGCTTTAGCTACCAGTAGAGGGAGATACAAGAGCAGCTAAGCATAGTTGATCCATCATTACTGAAATTTTATTCCCCTGTTATGTCATCTTTGCCCATTGAAGCATTTGGGAGAACTAGAAAGCTCACCTTGTTTGTAAATTCTTAGTAACACCTTCAGTAAAAGTATTATTCAATCTAGGAAAAAAAAATATTGTGTTAACTTTTCAACCACCACTTCCATTGAAACTTGTCTCCCCAGCTGAAAAGCTGAGAATGAGGAACAATTTCCTGAGAATTTAACCGATGTGCAACTGTTGGTCATGGATGTTCTAGGCTAAGTTAGTCAACTTGCAATGCTTAACTGCAATTATTTCTCTGTGTGTGAACATGATGTGCTTTCAAGTTGAAACTGACTTCTGGCAACCCTAGGGATTTTAAGGTAAGTGAGATATTTAAGGAGTGATTTTACCAGTTCCACTCACTCCCTTCCCTGATGTGTGTCCTTGGCTGAGTGGGGATTTGAACCCAGGTCTCCTGAGTCCTTGTCCTATCTCTCTCTAGCTGTGGCTAAAGCTTAGTTTAGAATATAATGATTTTATTACTCAAATCAGAAACCAGTTTCTATGGACTGATCACACGGCTACTTTTTTTCTCTAATTTGCTTTTCTGATTCTCTGATTAGACTGCTGAATGAAGGAAAAATATTTCAGCAATAGATAATGACCCTCTTGTTTACTCCCTATCCCCCATCATCATTATTTTAATGTTCATTGAACTTTGTATGTCTGTTCCACAGTTCATCTCGTTTAGAGACCATATTGGGAAGAGGCTGTGTTTATCCCTAGGAATAAAACCAAAGTTGAAATCCATAGGTGGACAATACCTTTCTTAGGATTGATTGTAAATGCACAAAACGTGCAAGGTTGTGAGTTTTTTAGAACTCCTAATCAGGCTAGAAGTTAAAACATTTGGGAAGGAGGCAAAAAAACAAAGGCAAGGAGGTTCAAATGTTTGGTTGGGTGTTTCAAACTTTGGAGAACTACAGTCAAACTCAGTCATATTTTGGAATGTAGGGTCTAAGTGCTCTCTTTAGATAATGAAACACAGCAACCAAGTATGGTCACTTAAAGGTAAAGGTAAAGGTTCCCCTTGGCATTTTTATTCCAGTCATGTCCGACTCTAGGGGGCGGTGCTCATCCTGTTTTCAAGCCATAGAGCCAGCGTTTGTCCGCAGACAATCTTCCGTGGTCACGTGGCCAGCGTGACTAGGGAAACACCGTTTTACCTTCCCACTGGTACCTATTTATCTACTCGCATTTGCATGCTTTTGAACTGCTAGGTTGGTGAGGAGCTGGGACAAAGCAACGGGAGCTCACTCCGTCACGTGGATTCAGTCTTACGACTGCTGGTCTTCTGACCCTGCAGCACAGAGGCTTCTGCGGTTTAGCCCACAGTGCCACCATGTCCCTGTCCCATCATGGTCACTTACATACCAACAAAAGAGCATTTTGAAAGAGCACGCAGATTTCCAATCCATTTATGCTGTTATATGCATATATGATGTAGAAACAATGAGTGTTGTTTGCTGAGAAACTCAATTCGTCTCACCAGAGTAGTGACACCAGCTGTGAAAACTGTGGTCAACCTCTGCCAGTTGCTGAATCTGATGATGGGCTATTTCAACACCTATGTGTCTTTCTCTCAGGGATGGGGAAAGGTATGGCTCTCCAGATACTATTATGCTTTAGCTCCCACCATCCTGATGACTAGCCATGCTGGCTGGGGATTGGTGAGACCTGTGTCTGGTACCATCTAGAGGTCCACATGTTCCTGACACCTGTTTAAAGCAGACTTCAATTGGACAGCTCTTCAAGTACAGTGGTACTTCGCAAGACAAACGCTTTGCCGGACAAAAAACTCGCAAGACAAAAGCATTTTGCGATCGTGTTGGTGACTTGCAAGACAACTTCTTCTATGGCCGTGCTTTGCAAGACAATCCCCCCCCCGCAAGACCAATGCCTTGCAAGACGAAAATAATTTGTTCGCCTTGCGAGGTTTCCCATAGGAATGCATTGCAAGATGAAAACCGCTTTTCGCAAGATGAAAATTTTCGCAGAATGAATTACTTTCGTCTTGTGAGGCACCACTGTACAGGGCAACAATGAGGGAAGTGCTTTTAAAACTAGATCACATGGCAAGGCCGGTCCTACCATTAGGCAGAGGGAGGTAGTTTCCTTAGGCAGCATATGCTGGGAGATGGCAGGAAGATTTTGGAGGAAAGGCTGTGTGCCTCATGGACTGTCTTATGGCCAAGCTTTTTGCCTTCAAATGGACTTGAGAACTCCGCCCCATCCACCAGTGCTGGAAAAAGATTCAACTGCCAGTCCCAATGACTTTTGAGCATGGAACAGGAGGAAGTGCCATCTTATTCAGTGTGAAGGGTATAACTCAGTGGTGGATCATCTGCTTTGAAGGCAGGAAGTTGTACGTTCAGTTCCATTGTCTCCAGGCAGAGATAAAAAAGAACTCTGCTTGAAGCCCTAGAGAGCCACTGTTGGCCAACATTGACAATTTTGGGTTTGATCAATCAACGTTTGTCCGAGAGTAAGACCAATCCCCAAGCTACTAGTCTCCTCAGGCAGCAAAACGCCTTGGGTCACCTCGACATGGGCCTGCTTTGAAATCTCAGCTGCGCCGCAGCAGATATTCATCTTCATAGGATAGCAAACGCGGCACAAGTTCTTCTTCTCCAGCAAAAAAAGCTGCCTCCTCTCAACACGGCGATTGCGTGCGGTCGGGAGAGCAGGAAGCGCTGATCTCTTGTGACAGCTGTTCCTGAGGCAGGCTGCGCTACGGATCGTCATCCGGCAAGGGATGGGAGGAGGTGATACTTAAATGCCCCACAACCCAGCCGGCCGGCAGAAGTGTTGGAATTTAGCACGCAAGGATTGGGATACAGAGCCCGGTGAGTGGCATTGCGCTTCTGCCTGACCCCTTAGCCTCCAAGCAGGACCCAAACAGGAGGGCGAGGAAAGTGCCAAAACATACAGAGAACGACTGGGGGGAAATTGA